GCTGGCCCTCTCGTTGTGCTGCGCGTGTGGGTGCGTGACGGCTGCTGAGCAATCAGAGGGTTCCCTGAATGGCTGCGATGCATAGAAGTTGTCGCCAGGATCCGGTGAAATGTTGTCTTTATGTAGTGGCTGGCGCTAAGGGCCTTCTACGACGGCGTTTGGTTGCGCATTCACGCCGATAGCTCTGCGCTGGGAGACGACTGGGATGCGAAGCGCTGAGTTGTCTTCAGGCTTTGCAGGCCGAAGGCGGTTCCTGGTGGTGGTGCTCGTATTCGCACTGCTGGTGAAATAACCCACAGTGGTGTACGGCGCATCTCTGTGGCGCAGAGTGAGGGTGGGTGAAGTCTCGCTCACCGGTACTGCTCTTTGAAGCGACGGTGCAATGCCGTTTCACGGTGGAGTTACAACAGATGCGGTCAGTGTGCCTCCGTGGCGAAGAGTGGTTGTCGTCAAGTACACCCAAAGCGTCTCCCACCTACGATGAGGGAATTCACATGCGCCGGGATGAATGATTCATGAAGGATGATTCCGCTGCTCTAGCTCCGTTGCCACGCTACCCTGGTGCGTAACTCCCTGAGGCTGAGGGAAAAGACAGGTGGGGTGTTGATTAGGCTCTCGGGACTGCTTGAATGTGTGAAGAAGACGTTGCCGACAAACAGACGGGAGCCGCGGCCCCTCCTTCGATTACCCCCAGGGTGGAGGTGTACACAACGACTGTGGTGTGGGTTGCAGTACTCCTCAACAACCTCCCTCTGATGCCCCTCCCCCCTTCAATTGAAGATGCACTACGGGCGAAATTCCATTTTAGTGAAGGCGCTACTTAGTACCAAATACATGATGCCAGGAATTGAACGTCTGTGCCTCATAAGGACTCACTCTCTGATGATGCGACCTCAAGCAGATATTAGGATCCTTGGGATCGCTGTAGCACCACCGCCCACTCCAAGTCATAGCGGGAGTGGAAGCAGTGACTCATCTATCCGTGTCTCTGTGGCGTGTGTATTCACGGGTCAGCAATGGTGTACGTATCATTGCGTGGTGTTTTTTGGACTAGATTCTAGTTGTTGTGTTTCTTTTTCTTGGTTTCATGCTCTGGGACCGGAGCAAATCCAATTGTACTCTCGATGATACTGAACGTACTCAGTACAGCCGTGGAAGGCTTATCGTTTGTTTTTTGTTATTTGAGATTTGCTTGGTGCACTCCGGTGTGGTGCCCATTACACGCTTCTTCTGCTGGAAAGTAATTTTATGCCATGATGTGCCACAGTGCGACGGTTGGGGTTCTTCTCCTGACTGTGGGTGCTGACCTGTGTGGCAGTGATGTGTGCGTGTGTGTTGGGGCTGCCTGCTGTGCATCGTGTCTCTTTTCTCTTCCCTGCAGACCCCAGCTGCTCAAGCGATATTGAATTATGGCGACAGTGCGCCGCGTTGTGTGTGTGTTGGCCGCTGCTCTTTGCTGCACGGCCTTGTGCGTGGCTGCGAACTCTGATGATGCCCCCTCTGTGCAGCCACTCACAAAAGAAGGTGTGGGAGGGGGGATGTCTTAGAAGGAGGCGGACATGAAGGAGGAGGAGAGTGCGCTGGAGAGAGCGAAGAGAGGTGAGTTGGCCGCCAGAGGTGCTCAGGCTGCACTGCAGATGGCGAAAGAGGCAGCAGAAGGGGCCATGCAGGCAGTGGAGGAGGCAGTAAAGCAGGCAGTGAAGGAGGTAGCGAAGGAGGTTCAGTTGAATGCTGATGCTGAAAACAGTGTAGCGAGAAAATCTTTGAATACAGCTACAATTGTTACAAATGCTGCGGCCGTACTGTTGCTGCCCAATCCGTCGTCTTCGGGAGCGCAGCCTACAGGTGTAAGTGACACGACAGTCAAGCTAAAGACAAAAGCACAGGAGGTAAAGGAGGTGCAGAAGGCAAAAGAAGAATCCACTAAACTGTTGCAGAGTGCCGCAAAAATAAAATTGGAGGCTGAGGGCCCACTGCAGAAGGCCAAGGACGCAGTGTTCAAAGCAGAAGAGGCGCTGCAAATGTTTCGTTGGGCGGAGGCGAATGCAACAGATGCGGATCAGCACGTCAAGAAAGCAGTGGAGGCTGCAAAGGCAGGAGCGACGGCGGCAAAGGACGTGGCTTACAATTGCTTTGTTCAAGTGGAGAGGGCATACAATGCATCGCTGGCGGTTGGGCGGTCAGTGAACGAAACAGATACAGCAGCGCGGGAAGCTCACAGCGTGGCCGAAAAGCTTGATAAAAACGAAATTACGGCTGAATGGGTAAAAACGTTGATTGGTGCGTATCGAAAGGCACAACCAGCCCGTGAAGCATTTTACATTGCTGTGTCGGTGTTCAGAGATGTACAAACATTCGGTAACAAAGCAGCAGAGAGTGCCGATGTCACATTGGCCTCCATTGAGGGCCAACTGCGGACAGCTGCAACTGGTGTTGATAAAAGTGTGTCTGCGGGGTCAAGAGCTGAGGCCGTGCTGAAGGAAGCAAGGCAGGAGTTGAAACAACTTCAGGAACAAGCGGGAAAGTCGGGCGCGCCTGAGACTAAAGAGGAGCAGCAGGAACAGGGTTCAGTGATGAGGGACGAGCACAGTCTTCCGCCACAATCCGAGGGCGGTGCCGCAGTGGCTCCTGGGAAGAAGGATGGCTCACGTCCCTCAGCAACAGAGGCCACCACCGTTCCTGGGGCTGATGCTGATGCTACGCCCGCTCTCGCCAGCAATACTGATGGCAGCAGCAACCCTGCGTTGGTGTATGCACCACTGCTGCTGCTTCCGGTCTGTGTGTCTCTCTGGTAAGACGTGTCTCTCTCTGTGTCTGTGTGTGCGCAGAGAATGATGATGATCCCTCCGTAATTGAGCTGGGTGCTGAGGACTCTGCTCTCAATTTATAAAGATTCATGTGTTGTAGTTTCACTGCTTGCTTCATGTGGCCAGTCGCCAATAAGTAAACCCTGACGACACTCATTGTGCTCGATGTCGTTGGTGGAAGTTCTTTTTGTCTTTTTTTCCTTTGCTTGGGAGTTGTGTTTCGCTCGGGGCTCCGCCTCTCCCGCTGGCTGTGTGCTCCGGTGGCTGACTCCCACTTCGGTGTGGGCCACACATTTCCCTCCACCGGGCAGGGGGCATACACCACACATGGGCGAATACGGACAGCGGCGTTGTGTTCAGTGTGACTCACGCACAAATAAATAGAGAGATATCTAACTGGGCTTTTTCTTTTCTAGTTTGTGTTTGTTGTTATTTTATGGGGTACTAACTGTCCTTTGGGCTGTGTGCTTATCCCGCCGGTAATTCTTTTTCTCTACGTGCTTCGCGTATCCACTGGCTTCCCCTGCGCTGTGCTGCTGCCCTCCTCCGCTTGGAGTGGGTGCGACTGCTCTGTGTCCCTCTCTCTTCCTCTGCTCTGCAGGCCACAGCAACCAGGGGTTGTATCAAGCATGACGCTGCGCCGTGTGGTGCTTTGCGTGTGGGTCCTCGTGCTTTGCTGGTGCAACACGCCCCTCTGCGTGACGGCTGCTGCGGCAGGTGTGGAGTCCGTGGAGCCTCCATCGGCAGCGAAGACGGCGGATGCGGCGCGGGAAGCGGAAGGCGCCGTGAGTGCGGCCCAGACGGCGGCTTCAGAGGCACTGCAGGCAAGAGATGCCGCTGGGGATGCGGTGCTGGAAGCGTCGCCCGCAGTGAAGAACGCGGAGGAAGCCGCGAAGTATGCAGAGATGGCGCTGGGGAAGGTGAAGGAGGCACACACGATAGCTTCAAAAAAGGAAGACGTGCGTCTGGCGGAGAGAAGCGCCCAGGAGGCAGTAAGGCATTACCAGATTGTGGCAGAGAAAGCCAATCAGGCGGTGTCATTTGTGGAAAAGATTGTCAGACTGTCTCTGAAAGCATCGGAGAGTGCCAAGAGGGCGGCCGCTGCGGCTGCTGAGGCGAGTAAAATGTCCGCAGCAGCAGCAGCACAAAAAGCCAAGGAGGCGGCAGCAGTGCCGGAGGCGGCAGCGGCTGCCAATAAGGCTGCGGCAAGTGCGGAGAGTGCTGCTGAGAATGCCCAGAAGGCGGCGAAACTGGCCGATGAGGCAGTGAAGAAATGTGAAGAGGCAATGAAAAACAGCCGGGCTGCAGGAAGACTTGCCAGTGAGACAGAGCAGGGCGCTAAGAAGTTGGAGGAAAGCGCTCAGGAGTTAAATAAAAAAGCTGCGCTTGTAACTTCATCCCATGGGACCAGTGTCAAACATGTGGATCTTGAGAGGAGTGCCAGTGCGGCACTGACAGACGCTGAGAACACAAAAAAGAAGGCGGACCAAGTCGTGGTGGAGGCGAAGGCTGCAGCAAAGATCACTGAGGATGTTGTGAGTGATGCTACGGATGTCGCAACTCTCGCAGAATCGGCAGCGAAGTATGCTCTGGCTGCAATGAATCAAGCCATGGAAGCGAAGGCCGCAGCGGAGGCTTTGCCGACGCAGTCTCAGACGAAGTTGGCGAAGGTGCCGGCAGAGGTGGAGGAGGTGCCGAAGGGAACTGCGCACAGCCCTATTCCTCCTGCTTCCGCTGCTGCTGGTGGTGTTGAGCCTTCGCAACCCAAAGCGGCAGCCCCGAAGGCGGATGCGCCAGCAAACCATGTGGAAGCACCTCTCTCTCCGAGTAAGGACATGACCGCAGGGATGGAGACTTTCGTGAAAGGCCCCGGGACGAGTGGACTGCAAGACAGTGGCAATGCGGACAGCAGCGGTAGCCCTCTCTGGGTGTGTGCACCGCTTCTGCTGCTTCTGTTGATGGTGGAATCTCTTGGCTTGACGACTGCGTGGTAAGATGTCTCTGTGTGTGGTTGTGCTTGCGTTTATTCAGGCGTATGAGGTGAATGCGATTGTGCTGGTTCTTTAAAAGTGTGATTTCTACACGATAAGACTCATTTGCTTACGTTGCACTGTTGCGCCGTACTGGGCGTGGCGCTGATAAGTCAAGTGTCAACGGTATATTCACTGTGTGCTGTGGCATTGGAAAAGGTGGGCTTTCGTTTTTTTTTTTTTTCCTTGTCTTTGGGCTTTGCTCTGCACGCAACTGCGGGGGCTCCTAACTAATTTGTTGTTTTTCTCCTGGCGGCTGCAGCTTGAGCTATGCACTGCATCCCTCACCCCTGTCACGAACGTTGCACACGCACTGCCGTGAGAGACGGAAAGGAGCTTAAAATTGGTGCCTTGTTTGCCCGTCTGTATACTTCCACTGCTGCGTGGCCCCGCGTGGTAGAGGATTGCTTCAGCATGGCTGTGGGCTTATTTCTGCCAGCGGAATCTTTGTTTTCTTATGCGGTGTCTCTTACTCGGGGCGTTTCTTTGAGTCTGCTGTATTTCTCTCCATTGCGTTGTGCGTCGGCGACATATTGTTTTTTCTCAATTTTCGCCTCCTATGTGCTGCGAAGACTCGAAGGGAATCTGCTGAGTTTTGCTGATGATGTTGGGGCGATGCGTGCCGTACCTGCTGCTCTGTGCCCTTCTCTGCGCCTCGTTGTGTGCGGCGGCTGAGTCTGCTGCTGCTGGTACTGAGAGGGCGGCGGCGCAGACGAAGGTGGACGCGTGCACTGACGCTGCGTCAAAACTCGGGAATGCGTTAGAAAGTGCTGCTCAGGCTTCTGCCAAAGCTGGGGAAGCAGCGAATAGGGCCGCGACTTTGCTTGAGAAGGCTGGTAAAGCAAAGGAGCACGCTAAGGCTGCAGAGAGTATGGCAAACGAGGCAGTGAAAAGTATTGACAGTGAACAGGGCGTGCTGAAGAAGATACCGGAATTGGAGGCTCTTACCACAAAGGAAAAGTTATTGGCCGAGAAAAATCTCCCGACTCTTGCGAAGAGTGTTCAAACTGCGGCGGATAAGGCCAACATGGCTGCGGATAATGCTACGAGTGCTGAAGTGCTACTCAGGGAGGCCGAGGAAAATGCGAAGGAAGCACTGGCAAAGGCAGAGGAAGCACAGAAACTGTCGGCGGCCGCAGTGCAGAGCGCCAAGGGCGTAGCGAAGGAAGTAAAAGCGACAAATGTAATGAATGGCGAAGACGTGCAGAAACTCTCAGCGGTTGCTGGGAAGGCTAAGGAGGCTGACAAGAAAACAGCGGATGGCGCTTCGAGTGATTCTTCAGCAGTGAAGAAGATTCGACAGGCACTGGCCGAGATCACGGCCGCGAAGACAAACGCGGATTTGGCGGCAAAGAGTGCCAAAGGAACCAAAGCCGAAGTTACGGAGGTGGAAAACTTAAAGTCGTCTGAGGTTCACAAGAACGACGCAGATATAACCAATGACGTAAAGAAACTTGTAGCAAAAATGACAGCAAGCGCTACAGAAGCAAAGACGAAAGCTGACTTGACAGCAACGAGAGCACAAAAAGCCGCGCAGATTATTGATGGTGCACTCGAAGATACCAAACAGGTGTCTGCCCTTGCAGAAAGAGCATTGGGCGCCGCTAAAGAAGCAAAGGATTTGATTGAGGAAGCCAAAGAAGTTATTGATGCATCGCTCCAAAAAGCAAGGGAAGAGTTGAAGGTATTGACTGATAAAGCGAAAGAGACTCCAACGGGGGTCTCGAGTTCGCATCACGCATCTGGGCCACACTCTGTGAATGAAAAGAAGATGCCTTCATCTGTTGTGCCGCCCACCAGGGCCACTGCGGCTCCTCCCCACACACAGAGCGGTGCGGATAAAAATCAGGAGACCACCGATGAGTCGCTCACTGTTGACAAAAGCGATGGGCCCGCAGGTAAATATGACATTGGAATGACGGACGGCAGCACCAATCCTGCGTGGGTGCGTGCGCCGCTGATGCTGCTGCTGCTGTTTGTCTGTGTGGCTGTGTGGTAAGACGT